CTCTGGAAATTGTTATTGAATATGTTAATGCTGTAATGAAATGCTTCTAATCATGTGGCTATTAAATAATTTTTTTAAAAAAAGTAATTGACTGTGACTAGTAATAATAAGATATATAGAGATTAGAGACTCATGTGCAAACATCTGAGTGTTAGTTGCATTAAAAATGAGTTTTTCTGTATGAAACAGCATATTTTAAAATGAAATGGAGATATTTTTTAAAGGGTAAAATATCATTCAATTTTATGTCTTATAGGGTTTATACTGAGTTCAATATTGTATAACTCTATTAATTCAACTGTAAACCTAAAAATTTACAGCCAATTTTGAAAGAGATGTATCTTATCTCTGGAAATTGTTATGGAATGTGTCAATGCTGTTGTAATGAAATGTTTCTTCTAATTATGTTTATTAAATAAATAATTTTAAAAAAATGACCTGTGTACTCTCACAATAAATCTTCCTGACACTGAAAGTGACTTCTGTGCCTTCACAATGACCTACGTGGCCTCACAACGACTCTGTGTGACACACAGTAGCTCTGTGTGATACTCACAGTGTCATTGTTTGTACTTATAGGGACCCAGTGTGACATCCACTGTGGCCTTGCCTTAACAATGACAATGTGTGACTCTCACAAAGGCCTTTTGTACACTTACAGTGAATTTGTGTGACACAATGACTCTGTGTGATAGATGCTGTGACCTTGTGTGCCCTCACAATGTCCCTGTGTGAAATTCATAGTGACCTTCTGTGACACTCACAATGAATTTGTGTGACATTCAAAATGACTTTGCGTGATACTCTTATTGACTGTGAGACACAGTCAATCTTTATGACAGAATGACTCCATTTATCATTCATGGTGACCTTGCGTGACACTCATAATCACTTTATGTGTCCTCACAATGATTCTATGTGAAATTCACAAAGATCCTGTGTGGCACTTACAATGACCCATGTGCCCCTCATGATGGACTTGGGTAACACTCATAATGACCTTGTGTGATAGAATGATATTGTGTGTCCTCAAAACGACTCTGTGACTGTCACAATGATCTTGTGAGACAATTGAAAATGAGTTTTTCCCTCACAATGAATCTTCATGACACAATGACTCACAATGGTTTGCATGCCCCAGAATGACTCTATATGACTTTTACAAAACTGTGTGACAATCACAATTTTTCTGACACTGTGACTTATGTGCTCTCACAAAGATTCTGTGTGTCCCCACAGAGACTCAGATTGACACTCAGAATGACATGTGTCACTCATGACTCTGTGTGACATTTATTTTTTTCTTTTACTTTTATTTTTTAAAATATTTATTGGGGCTGGAGAGATGGCTCAGCAGTTAAGAGCACTGACTGCCCTTGCAGAGGACCCAGGTTCGATTTCCAGCACCCACATTGCACGACATGGGCGCACTCACTTACAAGCAGGCAATATACTCATACATACAAAATAAAAATAAAAAATAAAAAAATGAAAATATTTATTATTTTTATTATTTTATGTGCAGAGGTCAGAAGAGGACATCAGATTCCCTGAAACTGGAGTTAAAGACAGTTGTTAGCCACCATGTGGGTGCTGGGAACTGATCTGGGGTCCTCTGCGAGAGCAGCCAGTGCTCGTAACCACTGGGTCAACTCTCCAGGCCCCAAAATCACTTTGTGACACTAAAAATTATTCTGTGTGACAGTTACAATGACCTTCTATGCTATCACTATGACCTGTGTGACATTCACCATAACTATGTAACACTAAAAATGACTCTGTGTTCCCTCACAGTGACCTTGTGTTAGAACAAAGTGGCATTGTGTGCCCTCACAATAACTCTGTGAGATACTTAGAATGACCTGTGTAACACAATGACCTGCAGTACCTTCACAATGGCCTTCTGTGACACTCATGATGGCCTTGTATGATACAATCACTTTTGTGCCCTCACAACCACTCTTTGTGATACTCACAGTGACTTCTGTGACATTCACATTGACCTTGTGTGGCCTCACAATGACTTTTGTGCCTTCACAATGACTCTTGAGTTTCTCACTATGACTGTACGTGAGATTCAAAATGACTTGTGTAAGACTCACAATAACTTTGTATGGGAATCAGGATTGCATTGTGTCTTCATAATGACTTTGTGTGACATCATGATGACCTTAGGTGACTTCTCAAAGACTATGTGACACAATGAATTGTGTGATACTCACAGTGACCTTGTGTGACTTATCAAAGACTCATTGTGACAACCACAATCCTATGTGCCCTCACAATTACCTTGTGTGATACTCAAAATGGCCTTGTGTGACCTCACAATGACTCTGTGTGACACTCAGAATGTCTGTGTGACACAACAATGAAGTTAGGTGCCTAAACAATGACTCTGTATAATACTATGGGTATGACTCTCACATGACTTTGTCTGCCCCTCATAAACCTTCTGTGTCACAATGACTTTTGTGCCATCAGTAAGAGTCTGTGTAACACTCACAATGACCTTGTATGAAAATTACGATGACTTTTTGTGCCCTCACAATAACTGTGTGACACACTATGACTGTATGACATTCACAATGACCGTGTGACACTCAGAATAATGTGTGATACTCACAAGGCTTTGTGTGACATTCATAATGACTTTTTGATGCTCCCAGAATGATTCAGAGTCACACTCCATGTGACACTTAGATTGACTTGAGTGACACTCACAATGACTCTATGTGACACTCAAAATGACTTTTGTGACCTCAGAATGGCTATGTGACACAATGACTCTGTCTGACATTCACAATGGCTGTGTGACTGTGACCTGAATTCTCTCTGGGTCTCCTGCGCTATCAGACAAACCATATAACATATTTTATGTGAGTTTATTAACTTACAAAGGAATGAGTACCCAGTGCCTAGCCCCACACCGTCATGACTCAGAGCCCATCTTATCAGACCGTGCCATGCCCATAGTCCCCCACTAGCATTCGTTCACACCTCCGCGGCCAGCGACCTAGCCTGGGGTCTGTAGGAGCCAGTCAGTGCATTCTGTCTTTGAGTTGCTGTGTTGGCTGCGAATTTCCTACATCACACACTCTACCAGGGGCTCCCAGCTTCCATCCCAAGATGGCTCCCAGCTTCCCTTTCTAGTTCCCACTCCATGTCAGTCCCCGCCCAGTGGAGGAACCAGCCAATTGGGAGACAGTGACACAATGACCTTGTATGACACAATGACTTGTGCCACTCACAACGGTTTGTGTGCCTTCACAATGACCGTTTGACATTCAGAATGATCTTGTGTGCTATCACAGTGACCTTGTGTGACACAATGACCTTCTGTGACCTCACAAGGACTCTGTGACACTCAAAATGTCTCTGTGTGATAAAATGACCTGATGTGAAACTCGGAATGAACTTGTGTGCCCTCAAAATGACTTTTATGACCTTCATAATGACTGTGACACTCACAATGACTCTGTGTGGCACTCACAATGACTGTGTGACACAGTGACTCTGTGTGACATTCACAATGAGAGCTGTGACCCTCTGTGATATATAACATTTATATGTACTTCCAGCAAGGAAAACATACCTACAACCACAAAATCATTTTCTTACCTTGATATGTAAATAAGAATAACAAGTATCAATTTTATTCACAAGTTTTAGAAAGTATTACAAAACTTTTTATCAGAAATGGTAATTTACAATGTTACAAATTCTAGTATGAAACAGAAATGATGCAACCTAAACTGATTCAAACTATCTTAAAAGCAGTGATTTCTTTCCCTTCCTTTTCCTGTTCTTTATCTTCTAAGACAGACAACAGTGCTTAAACTAAATAACATTGACAGTAATACTTTAAAGTAGAAAGACCCACATTTCAAAATATACTCCATATAGTCATGATAGAAGACACATTTCCTGACCTGGTTGCTTTGGAAACCCTTGTGTCAATCTTGTCCTTGAGCTTGTCCTGTGAGGGTGGTGCCATGCCCACCTTCGAGGTGCTTCTCAGTTCAGGCCCTTGCTGTCCGGGCTCCAGCTTCTCAACTCAGCCTTGTGTGATGTTCTAAAATGTGAAATGTTAAGTTGCATTTTTCTTGTGTTTACAAAGACTGTAAAATGGAAAACATTATTGTATGTTTCTAAGTGGCTGGTGGTAAGATGTCTTCATTTTGATGATACAAACCTAGAATTTTTCAAATGCAGTATCAAATAAAACTGATTTTCAACCCTAAGCATTTCTCTACTGATCGAAAGTGGTATGTCAGGATTTGGGGTCGAAGTCTCACTTCCATCAGCCTGGCTTTTTTCAACAGTGTCTGTCTTTGAAGTCCATCAGGGCTCGACATGTGGAAAATATATTCGGGTTACACAAAGGAACACAACCCTGCTGGCTTTGATCATCCCTCTGTCATAACAGAGACGATTGGATTGCAAATAATGGCGCACACATGTGAATGAGGAGGAGGCCGCTCAAGGGAGCTCAGCTTATATCATCACGGATGTCTTGTGGTTAAATCCTGGATGTTTTTTGAGTTTCCTAAAGCCACTTCTCTGAAGGGTTAGGAACTACCAAAGTTTAGGAAACAAAGAAACAAATGGACCAATCAGTTACAACTGGCACAGGGGAGACTGGAAAGCAGATATGCACTACCATGGAATACTCCAACTTCCTATTTCAGGTAAAAGAACTGAAGTCTTGAGGAGCAGTAGACACAGACAAGCCAGAAGACACAGACTGGAAGCTATAATTACAGATGGAGAAAAGGCTACAGGAAGAGGGAGGACTCGTTAAATTCTATTCGTATCTTGCTTGCAAAGAGAGAAAACCATGGTGGGGAGGTGTCAGAAGATAACAATTTCCTGGGACAGACAGAGTAAATGACCCTGATTTAGGCAGGATAATTCCAAAAACAATATCTGAGTACATTCTATCACACTGATGCTCAACAGTCTATTTCTTTTTTAAGTGCACATGGAACAGAGCAACAGTAAGGGGCTAAAAGAGATGAGATCTGATCATGTAGGGTCAGACAAGAGACCAAATCAATCCTGCTTAATGAAGTCCTATGGCCGAAAATGAGGTGCAAACAAGCCATCCCTTGCTTTGTGCTGAGGCTCAGGTCTTCTTTAGGCTTAGAGACAGTTCTAGTGGGTAAAATATTGTGTAGGTAAAGGACACTGAGCATCATCATCTACAGGATCAGAGGGGTTATTTTTGAAGGAGAATGTCTATACATGCTGGGTCACTGGTCTTGGGTAATGATATTTGTCAGGCTGGGTTCTGCTGTGTGTCCACAGTCTCACAGGCTGCACATTCCACCAGGGTCAGTCCCTCAAGTTGTCCTTAGCTAAGCTTCTTGTTTGTGGAAGAAGTGGAGTCCCCAGGCCACTGACAGTCTTTTCTTGCTTCTTGGTGAGGTTTCAGCTTACAGCTGGTCTGGCTCAAGAGCGACTGGTTGAAAGGCTGGAAACGCTGCCAATTTGGTTCACATTTATTTTTGCTTCCAAAAGCCATAGACTCTCAGTCTGTAAGCCTCAACATAGGAGTTTCCAGACCCACAGCTCCACTGCAGGAAGATGGTCTTCAGGCGTCCTAAAACAGCAACAGAGGGAAAACTTGAAAAGCATTTCCTTAAAAGCTAAAGCTGCTACGCTGCCATTTTAAAAATGATTATGCATAGCTATTAACAGTAGCATTCACAGCATTCAAATATCCTGGTACTTAGTCCTCTGAGAAAATAATAAAGGCTTTGTAACAACTCAGTTATTCATTATGTCCTGAGTACTTAGAAGATGATAATATAACCCATAATAATCACAGTAACTTAGGAAACAGGTCTTTTGTTGATTTTCCACCTCATTCCAGCATTCAAAGCTGTTGTTTCTGTGTTGTGCTTCCTGAAGGATTTGCAAGTGAACATTTTAGGGTCATTCAAGGAATGAAGGTGACCAATGAGTTGTCATTCTTTAGCTGCCAGCTCAGCGACTGGAAAGCACTTGGAAAGAGTGAGGGACTGACATTACTCTTAATGGTCTCCCTGGAATATTCATAGTCTTTTTTGAGACAAATACCCTCAGCAAAGTGGAGCCACTTGACTTAGCACGGGAAGGACCTCTCTTCAGAGAGGAACCAGATATTGGCTGCTGAATGTTGCTGGAACCTTATTTTATTCGATAACCCTTCTGTAACTTGTTCATTAGTAAGTCATATTGGTAACACAGGTAAACGTAGGGAAAATTTTTTCTAGTTAAAGAGGTAATCTAGAAATGGGCACTTCCCAAGTCTGTATGAATCCTAGGAGACATTTTTATCAAATAAGCTGATAAATTGATGCTATAATCACAAACATGGTGACCACTGCAGGATGCAGGTCACCTCATTTTGTCAATATGGAAAATGCAGATTCCAACAGATTGGAAAACTACTTGTCCTCTCAGATCTTTTTTCTTCTTTCCTATTGACAGCCTTTTCTATTTATTAATTAATTAATTAATTAATTAATTTATTTATTTATTTATTTATGTCTTTTTGAGACAGGGTCTCCTTGTAGCCTCAGCTGACCTGGAACTCACTATATAGACCAGGCTGGACTTGAACTCATAGAGCTCCACCTATCTCTGCCTCCTGAGTGCAGCGATTAAAGGCGTGCGCCACCACGTCCACCCCTTCTCCCATTTATGTATTTATTATTTACTGGGGATGTGTGTTGCCATGGCACATGTATGAAGAAGATACGAGGACAACTTGAAAGAATTCTCTCCCTCCATCATGTGAATTCAGTGATTAAACTTGGGTTGTCAGGCTTGGCCATTTCTCTGACCCACATGTGGACATATTAAATGATGCTTTAAAAAGCACATCAAGAGGGCCAGTGAGATGATAGCTCAGTAGGTAAAAGTGCTTGTCTCTCGATGAGTCTGATCCATGGAACCCCTCCGCACATGTCCTCTGACCTCCACACATGCTTCCTCGTAATGATAAATACAATTATTTTGACCTTTTTGAGACAGGGTCTCCCTATAGTTGGCCAGGAACTTGCTATGGAAACCACACTGGCCTCGATTTCACAGAGATCCACCTGCCTGTGCCTCCCAAGTGTGAAGATTAAAGGCATGCACCACCATGCCCGGCTAAAAATAATTTTTTTTTTCTGGTCTTTTTGAGACAGGGTCTCCCTGCAACCCCAGTTGTCCTGGAACTCACTATGTAGACCAGGCTGGCCTTGAACTCACAGAGATCCACATGCCTCTGCCTCCCAAGTGCTGGGATTAAAGGCTTGTGCCGCCACTCCCGGCTAAAAATAAATATTTTTAAAAGCACCAAGAAAAGCTTTCCTCTAAGCCAATGGGCTAGCTTCCTTTTCCCACATATCTCAGCAAACAATGCCCCACATCCGTTGGTTCTGCAGATGGGCACAAGGACCGTGTGATCTAATGGACTCATGGAGACTATAGGCGGCTCAGCTCTCATGCCTGTATATTCATCCAGACTGTGAAATCACCATCAGATTCTGGGAGGTCTTAAAGCAGGCACAAGAAAACTGGCGTGTAAGAACACAGGCTTTGCAAATAAATGCATCATGCTTTGGGAGTCACAGCCTCACCCCAAGGAAATACCACAGACCTGAAGGCCTGTAACTGCTCTGGAGCAGGGTAGGATTCTTTCTGAACTTCAAATGAGCCTGTGCTATGGAACAAAGCTAACCTGTCATGAACTTGAGGGCTGGACAGAATTATCTAGATGCTCTGTGCTTTGATTATTAATAATCAGCTGCTGGGGCTGGAGAGATGGCTCAGCAGTTAAGAACACTGGTTGTTCTTGCAGAAGACCTGGGTTCGAATCCCAGCACCCACATGGCACTAAACTGTCTGTAACTCCAGTCCCAGGGAATCCAATAGCCTCTTCTGACCTCTGCAGGCATTACACAACACGGGTGCACTGACCTACATGCAGGTAATACACACATACACATAAAATATAAACAATAAATAAAAATTTTAAAAAAATCAGCTGCTAAAATCAGATTATTTTATTTTATTTTATTTTATTTGCTTTTTAAAAGATAGGGTCTTGCTATGTAGCCCAGGCTAACTTTGAACTCACTATGTACCCAAGGCTATCCTCCAACTTATGGTGATGCTCCTGCTTCAGCCTCCTGGGTGCTAGAATTACAAGAGTGCACTACCACATCTAACTTGATAGAAAATTTTTTATGAAAAACAAATGTGTTCTGCACCTTGGAAAATGAGCCTGTTAGAAGGAAATGTGAATTATTTTTTAGAACTCAGTAGCCTACAGAAAGCAATACTAGCTGAGTTAAACACTTGGCTGATGCAGATGCACCTTCAGAACACTACAGGTCACACATTTGACACATGAAACCCAAGAGAAAGTACTTTTCAGAATCTGGAAGACATTCTCTTAAAATGGGCTCAAAATGTTAGTTTTATTTCTAGTTGTAAGGGGGTGGGAGAATTGAAATGGTTTACATTTTAATGGTTCCTTTTGTGAATCTAGATTCTTATTCTTAGAATGATCTAAATTATCTAGAGATTATATATCTTTTCTTTTTATTGTCATCCAAGTTATACAACTTATGAGATGTCACAAAACAAGATCAGTAAGCAATCTTCCCCAGCTGCGGAGTTCAAACTGTGCAGTTTATGCTTTTTAACTATTGAATTTGTTTGTTTTCCCTCCCTTCCCACATCTTGTCTCTATTTCTCCAATTTGGAGACCAAAATCAATGTTTTTTTTTTTTTTTCTCTCCCAAAGCCAACAAATGTTTTGCCTATGGAATTCCCCATAAATTCTCTAAAAAACTTCTTTGTAGTTAAAAAGAAAAAAAAGCATGACAGATTACATAAGTATGTAGCCTTTACACTGATTATAAACAACGCACTTCTAAGTCGGAGAGATGTCTCATCAGTTAAGAGCGCTTGCGGCTCTTACAGAGAATAGGCATTCCTAGCACCCACATTGGGTAGCTCACAACCTCCAGTGACTCCAGCTGCAGGGATCAGATGCCCTCTTCTGCATGGCCCTTTGACTTCAGGCTAAGAGTGTAGTATAATTGGTTAGCTATGGATTCCACATCTCTTGGAAGCAGAGGCCCCATTCTGGAGCATATGTAGTATTTTTAGTGCTTGCTCAGCACTCACAGTCCAGGTGAGGACCCCACAATGAGAGCAAAGGTGTTCACATCAAGCAAGTTCTATGGGTTCTGGAACTCTGCCTTTTTGTACTCAAGGTAAATCTCATTCTAGAATGTACAGTAGCAATACATGCATGTCCATCTGAAGAAATGTTGACAGGCATGAAGGCAAAAATCAGCCCAGAGAAGGCAGAGACAGGACCAGTTCTCCTGAGCTCTTCCCAGCTTTGTGGGCTGCAGGAAGCCTCCACCTCTGCACTCACCACTCCCAAGCCCAAGCCCAATTTGAACCTCATCTGCCTAGGAAGACCCTTCCCCATACCTGGGCCCAGATCACAACCACCAGTCTGCTTCTAACCGGATTAATGAATTAGTCAATTGATCAATAGAGCAGTTGAGAAGGCAACTGTAATGAGGAGTGTGAGAGGGAGGAGGAACTTTCCACCTCAGTTCTAAATAACCTGACAGTGAATGGAAGTGCCCTGAAATACCGAGCTGAGGGTCATCCCAGAATAGGGGAGGTCAGTAAAGATGGCCAGGTGGTTCTGTAGCTAGCCCACCTATCAGGGAAGTACATGGCCCTGAACAGTCAGATTTAAGACAAGAGTACAGCTGTCCTCTGTGCTTTCAAAAAGTAGTTCTGTTTGTTTAAAAAAGGAAGTGAAATTTACTTTGAAATATTCTTCTGTGATGTAAGAAATGATGAAAGATTGCTACACTGCATCAGCCTCCCCAAATTTCACAGTGGGAACAGTACTTGGAGCCCTCTTTTCTAGCACAGACCAAGTTCACATCGAAACTTATCATGGCTTTACCTGGAGGGACGTGGGAGTAATCAGGTTCAACTCCTGACCTCCTTGGCTTGGAGTTCTTTGAGTGTCCAGAGTGAGAATTGGCTCCCGGACTGTACTGCAATATCGAGGTGAATCAGTAGTTTCTGCAAAGTTCCCAGAAGGAGCTGGAGCAGTTGTACCTGCCAAATCCTGACCACCGCTGGAATCCAGAGATGTCAAACTTTCATTTTCTGGATTCAGAGAATTTGTGTCTTCTCCAGTGAGTTCAGGATAAGAGTCACAAAAAGAGACATCAGCTCCCACAGAATTCTGCATCAAGGGCCAGGCATCAGAAAACTCACCGCAGACAGAATGGGAAAGGGACCCGAAGAAAGCTGGTGTTGTGGCCCCCACTGGAGCTGTGTTTCTGAACATACATTTAAAAGATTTGTAAGTATTCTGTGGTGACAAAAAGCACTACTACAAAACAGAATTTCAGCTGTAATTTTAAGTCCTATGGATGACATAACTAACATACGAAGTCAGAATTTCTGTGCTGGGGGGCTGGAGAACATGTCACCAGAATATGACATGTGAAATATTACAGATGACAGAAGTCATGAATATAAGACAAAAATAAAATGCATGACGAGAAAGGTATCAGAGAGTTGTACTGGTTGTGAGCAAACTTGAGAGAGCTCCATGATCCCTGTGGGGAGTCTGTCCCCTCAGATTGGCAGTCAGGGGTAATATTTAAGAAGTGGCATCCCTATAAGTTTAACACAAAAGCTGGTAAGTCATTAGGATACACAGCTGTAAAGGGGATATGACATTGTTGACTAGTGACCAGTTACCTCTCCTGAAGGGTGGCAGTAGAATGCAGCCCACAGCCTAGGGCAGCCCGGGCAGCTTCCTCGCAGCACAGGGATGGGATCAGATGAACAGGCCCTGGGGAAGGCAGCACAGCATGAGGCATGGGACTGTCCTAGAGAACGTTCTCATTCATACCAGTTCAGCCTGTTCCTCCCGGAAATCGAGCTGATCCCTTTTGGGTGGCTATTTGGTAGAAGGATACAAAGTTCGCCTTTCCTATGTCTAAAGCTGATGAACTGCTTCTGTGAGATCTCAAGAGCAGTCAGCCTCACAGAGCACATGCGGACTGGGAGCTGTCAAGTTTGAGGGACGGGAGAGGGAGGATTGTGTACAGCAAGGGGGGGCAGTTTCCACATGGGATAATGAAAGCATTCTGAGATGGGTGGTGGCGATGGGCACAGAACAGTGGAGGTGCACTTGCTGCCGATGCACCACTCACTTAAAACGGTCAGATGTGAGCACTGGGTGCATTGTGTCACAACAGAAAGTGACAAGGGGTTCTGATGCCATCTAGGAGAAGGAGTGTGGAAGGACAACTGTGAGCTGCTTGAGATAGGAGAAACAGTATGACTTAAAGGCTGAGTGGTCTGATGAGACAGACAAGGGCATTGAGATGTTAGAAGCCTTTTTTCTCAGTACATGCATGCACATGTGTTTTTATTACCAGAGATGAAATTAGGGAATAAGTAGATGTGTGTGCTCAGCTTACAAACCACTATGTTCACTAAAGTAGTATACATACATACGTAGAATATAAGCTTACTGAAACAAAAATTAAAGGTAAAAAGATAGATTAGATACATAATTTGGAAATAAATTTTCCCTGATTGTAAGTATTTGGTGAATGGCCTTTGCATGCAGTCTACATGCACATGCATATAATTGTGTTTTTTACAAGGTTATAAGCATGCCAAAGCAAAAACATAAAGATACACGTGCATAGAGAAAAAGACTTGAAGAAATTATGTCTCTAAGCTGGGCCCACTGATGCAGGCCCATATTCCCAGTTACTTGGGAGGCTGAGGCAGTCAGATCCAAGGTTCAGGGCCAGCCTGGGTAACTTATTGAGAACCTACCTCAAAACAAAAATAAAAATAAAAATAGAAAAAGAAATTAACCACACATATGTATGGAAGTTTGTGTGTGCTTCTAGATTCTCCATGAGGAATATTTTTGACTTTTTCTTGATTTTTGGTTTTGCATCCCCAGAACTACAGTTATGGATGGTTGTTAACTGCCGTGTGGATTCTGGGAACTGAACCCAGGTCCTCTGGAAGAGCAATCAGTGTTCTTAGCTGCTGAGCCACCTCTCCAGCCCCAAGGCTAATATCTCCTTTTTAAAAAATGAACGTCAAGCTGGGTGTGGTGGTACATGCCTTTAATGCCATTGCTGGGACCGGGGAGGAGGGGGGTTGCAGATCTCTGTGAGATCGAGGTCAGCCTGGTCTACATAGTGAGTTCCAGGCAAGCTGTGGCTACAGGGAGACCCCATCTCAAAAATATTTTAAAAAATTAAAAATGAATGCCAAATGCAGAGGCACAGCTACTAATCAGTGTCAAGCAGGCTGAGGCAAGAGGACAAAGGATTTGAGCGAGGCCAGCTATAATGAGACCTTGTCAAGGAAGAAGGAGAGAAAAGAGGGAGAGAAAAGGGAGGGGGAGGGAGAGGGAAGGGGAGGGGGGGGGGATGGGGGAGTGAGGAGGAGGGGAATAAGGATGAAATCTTCTTTTTCCATGTATGTAATATGGAACCAAAACACTCCATTCTACAATATCCTGAAGAGGAGATGGACAGTTCCAACAGGACAGGTCAACCTTCCTGGGATGTGTGTAGCCTAAAGCAGGTGGAGAGTATTTGAGAGATGACTCATGCTGTTGAAGGCACTGCACTCACAGACAGATCAGAAATTTAGGACCTCCGTCTTCCTTACAGAAGTCACTGAGACAGACACATGAGTGTTCAGTCTGAATTGGCCAGGTAACCAGCGACACCAGCCCCTCCTCCACACAACAGGTGAGCATGATTGTAAGCAAAACTGACTCAAAACAAGAAAAGCCTACTTGCCTAAAAAGTTGCTGAAAGTTCCAGAGTTCTTATGAGACATGTTTGCTATGTTGTTTATTTTTAATACTGAAGAGACTCAGAGCACCCATGCCAAAGGGAGGCAGTGGAGAGTCACTGAGCCAGAGCAACTATAACTGGAAAACCAGCCTGCCACCCGCTGCCACCCGCTGCTACCCGCTGCCACCCACTGCATATGAGCCAGGCTTGGCAGTGCCCTCCCTGCCTGACTGTTCCACTCTGCAAGCCCTGGTCCCTCTGATGGCTCATCATGGCCCAACTCACTGTAGGTCTGGGCCGAGTCCCGGTGACACTGACAGCACGTCCTGTGAGCACAGTGGCGGAGCCGAGGTTGATCAAAACAGGACAGTTCAGAGCCATTGTACTGGATGTCTTGTGACTGCAGAGACCCTGAGGGAGGGAAGGAAAGAAGCCTGCAGTCAACACACTGATCCACAGGGGAGGTCTGTACCATCCTTGCTTTTGTGTTTTTTTTTTTTTAAAAAAATATTTTTTCATTATTTTTTAAATATTTTATTCTTTAAAAATATTTTATTATTTTTATTTTATGTGTATGCATGTATTGCCTGCATGTAGGTAAGTGCATCCATGTCGTGAAATGCCTGCAGAGAACAGAAGAGGCTATCTGATCCCCTGGAACAGGAGTTACAGACAGTTGTTAGCTGCCATGTGGGTGCTGCATTTGAACCTGGGTCTTCTGCAAGAACAACCAGTGTTCTTAACCGTAGAGCCATCTCTCCAGCCCCTTATTTATTATTTTTATTTTATTTTATGTGTATGAGTGTTTTACCTACATGTGTAAGTGCACCTGTGTCATGCAATGCCCAAAGAGGTCAGAAGAGGGCATCAGATCCCCTGAAACTATAGTTAAGGATGGTTGCTAGCCACCATATGAGAGCTGGGAAACTGAACCCGGTCCTCTGCAAGAGTAGTCAGTGCTCTTAACCACTGAACCACTTCCCCAGGCCTTGCATTTGTATTTTTAAGGAGAGTCAGCATTGTTTTTATTTCAGGTGCTCCTCAGCTCACCCCAGGACATCCACTATAAACTGAAAACGCTGTTATGTAGCAATCCATTTAATATTCCCAGCCTTCCAGTCATCACAGCCTGGTAACATAGCTTAACCTTCACTATAACACTTCCATTAGCCTACAGTTGGGCAAAATCATCCAGGACAAAGCCTATGTTATTACACACACTCATGTGTGCACAGTTTTGTGTGCTGGGGATTGAACTCAGGGCTTTGCACATGGTAGGCAAATGCTCTGCCACTGAGCTACAGCCCAGCCCATTTGATAACAGTGTTGAATCTGCCATGTCATGTATTGAATACTGTTGAAAGTGAAGCAGAGAAGCTTCACAGATATGCTTTTATATGATCATAAGTCTGAAAAATTTTAAGCTGAGCTGAAGTAAGCTGAAGACTGTCAGACGGAGGCCCACATACTTTAACATAATTTCTTAAAGAAAGCTCAGAATGTAGGGTGTAGAACAATTTTTACTTTTCTCGTGTAGCCTGGGGGCATCAGCTTTGTTGGCATTCCTGTGAGGCCCTGGCATCCCTGAAGAGACCTGTTTTCCTGTGCCCTGTGTCCCTAACAGCTGGCGATGTTTATCCCAGTCAAGTCTCTTGTGAACACTTGTGTGGCATTGCCAACAAGCTCACTTCACCCATATAGCAGGATGACAGCAGAGGAGATGCTTACAGCAGCCGGGTTTCTTCTCCATGAACTGTCTCTTGCAGTAGATGACACACAGGATGAGCAGGGCCAGCAGCACAGTGGCCAGAGCACTGCAGATGACCGCAGCCAAGGCCGTGTCCCGAGGGCTGGATGCCGTGGATGCAATCTTCACAAGGTTGACTTTACTGGTACCTGAAAGTGGCAGGAATGGATCAACATACTCTGCAGCCCTGGAGGTAAGATGCTTCTAGGCATGGCCAATCTTATCACACTGTGACCTGCTGTTGTCATCTACAAGGTTCACATTTGAGAGCTGTGCAGTCCAGTTACAAAAATAATAAAATAAAATAAAATAAAAATCATGTTTTAAGTAAGTTTACAATTCCGTGCTGGCCTGCATTCCTAGCTATTCTTGGTTATAGTCAGCCTGTAGGTTGCAGGTTACCAACAGAAATAAAACTGGAGAAAATCAACCTGAGGGGTTTGGAGTATCTGAGTACCCAATCTTTTCAGAGGATGTCTTTAATGTCACACCTGCTGCTTGTGTCCCAAAATGTACTGGGTATGCTCTCTCCCCTCCCTGACCCAACATGAGGAACATGCAACACTCAGCATATGGTGTGGCAGATCTGCCCTTCGGCCACTGCAGCAGAAAGCTGGATTGGCCATCATGACCTCCAATGCTGCGCTGTACGTTCTGGGGTTTGGCACATGACAATGTTTGGGTGATTAAAAATTTTCCTGTCTGCTGAAGGTTCACTGACATAAGATAGATTAACAGGAGAAAAAAGCATGGAGTTTATTTACATGCACGAGACATCCAGGAAGGAAGTGCCCAGTAATTCAAGAGGTTCATAGGCTTTAGAGGCCCCCCTTTTTTCTCAGTCCTAAGGACTGAACTTTGAGGCCATGTTAGACAGGGACTCTGTTACTGAGCTCCATCCCCAGCCACTACCACTGAGCTGCATACAGCCCCAGTCCTCTTTTTCCCCCTCATGGGTATATGTGTGCTCATGTGCAAATGAATGTTTGCATATGTGTGGGTGCATGTGTGTGTGCCTATGTGTAGAGGCCCAAGGTTGACATCAGGGATCCTCCTTGATAGTGCTCCATCTTATTCATTGAGGAAGAGCCTCTCAATTGGACCCAGATCTTAGCAATACAGCAATCTGGCTAGCCAGCTTGCTCCAGGGACCCTCCCCGCCACGTCTACACCTCCTATGAACTAGTGGGTCACCAGTCCCACCTAGCATTTACATGGACTCTGGCAATCCAACTCCTCATGCTTGTACAGAAAATACTTTAACACTGAGCCATCTCCCCAGATCTCTTTTTACTTTTTATTTTGACACAGGAAGTTGCCCGAGCTGGCTTTGAACTCACTTTGTAGCTTATGCAGACCTTGAACCTTCAATCCTCCTGCCTCAGCCTCTCAATTGTCTGGGATTACAGGCCTCCACCACTAAACCTGTCTTTGTAGGGAGAGAAAGAAGGGAGGGGAAGGCCATTTTTTGAGGAGCATTGAGTAATTAACAGACAGTGGTTTGAATAATTCTTTTAGGGTGCTGCATGGGCTCCAAAGAGCAGACATATCATGTGACAAAGTCTGTGGACTACAGTGACGTCCCTGCTTCCCTTCCTGTGACATAAGTTTAATCTTCTCTGGCTAATGGGATCTCAGGGAGGGACCTAGGTCAACTGTGTTCCTGTTAGATGCGACAAGTCTGCAAGCAGAAAAAGGGCTTCATAGCAAAGCCTTTGCCTGCATCTGTGACCTCAGGCACCTTTAAGTTAAATAACCAGCATGTCAGGGTGCCATAGTCTGGGGTGCCACTCTCTGACTCCTTCAGTTGGTATACAGTATTTCTTAATTGGAATGAGAATGTTTTGCATTTTTAAGCAGATTGTGCTCAAGTATGTTTTTAGAGGACAACTTTAGGAGAATAGAAGAGGTTGGGCCATACCCAAACCTAATAGTAAGCCCCCAATTTCTGAGGCAGGAAACGTGGTTAATGCCTGTGTTGTGCATTTACCAAAGAATATCTATCTACACGCAGAAGAAAAGGTTGCTATGTGGAGAGGCAGGTGAGGCAGAGCACTGTAGGATTAGAATACAATGCCGTCTGACACCCAGTACTGTCCCGAGGTCAAGCAGGATCCTGGAACTTCACAGCCTGCACCAGCCTCTCACATGGGACCCTGAGCTGAGCCTTAAGACATCAGTTCATTTGGCCACTTAGAGGATTATATGACTCAGCATGGGAGACGTCCTTAGCATGGGTCTGAAAGTGCCCAGGGCTGGAGACCCTAAGCTACTGCAAGGACGATGGCCAGTACTTAGTCACCCTTCGGGTACCTGGATGAACAAACTCACAGAAATCAGAAATCCATAGTCAGCAGAGTCACAGAATGTCCTGTTTAACTTGGATCAAATGAATCAGAGAAAAAAGAAATTCCAGGGAGGAATAAAATCCAAACAGAGGGGCAATCACACTTTCTCTTCCCCTAAGTGAGCTGAGGTTGGCCTGGTTCGACTGCCACTTCTGCCATCCGGTCCTTCCCTCTCCATGGAGGGTGCCCCAGACCCATGACCCCCAGAAGAGTGCAATGTGGTCTTCATGTCATATTTTACTCACTGAGTCATCTGGTCAAGCTGCCCCCTAACCTGCCATTTGCCAATTACACATTTTAAAGGACATTTCTTGGTAGGATATGTTCAATATTCACAAAATATTTTAACCACCTATAGCTATATAGAAAACCTATAACAATCAAATAGGACACTAAATAATCATCACACAGCAAGTCAAACAAATGACACTCCTCACTGGAGAGAGGTTAAAATGAAATATTGAAGTGTACCCTTTAGTGGATATCACCACAGGGCATACAAACGCAGGCCCAGCTTAACAAACAGTGATAAGCAAACAGCTGAGCAGGAACTCACATCCCAGGCAGCCACCCAGGGGAGCGGGCCAAAACCTCACATTTGCTCACCTCAGAGTGAGAACAGGTAAACCATGGTCAGATGACCTAGGCCTGCTACCATGGACTTCATAGCAGCTGTCATCAAAGGTAGAAGTGACCCATTCCAGGGGCTGAGGAGCCCACAGTCCTAGATGGTGACAATTAACTTAAGCTCATCAATTGATACTGCATGAGATCTTCAGAAAATCCTCCTAAGAATAGGATTAAAGAGTTCTTATAGTTATGTGCTATTAACGCTTAAAATCTTCCCAAAACAGTGGTATATGATGGTGCCCCCTCATAATCTCAGCATTTTAGAGGCTGAGATAAGAAATTCTTGAATTTAAGGCCAGACTGGGCTACCTAGTTAGACCAAATCTCAATAAATAAATAAATGAATAAATAAAATATCTGCAAAATGTATTAGTTAACTGATTTACCTTAACATAGAACGAACTGTTTCTAACTTATAAATAAGCTTAAAGGTCCCCAAAGTGAGGATCTTATTTTTGATTTGGTAATTTGCAATTTAGGATTTATTTTCTCCAAACCTAAAAGTCTCGAGAGATATCCTTCCTTCCAAGACAAGGCACTTTCACTATGATTCCAATGATACCAATTTATCACAGTGGTATCAGTTTTAAAGAAAACTGCACTCAAAGTGACCCTTCTTATGTTTCCAGGCAACAGCATCTAAAGATGAACAACAGCAACTACAAACCCCACACAGCTGTATCTGTCAGTCTTGGACATGGCTGTGAGATGAGGCACTTGGGTGACACTAGCTCCCTCAGAGTCCCAGTGAGGGTGGGCAGGGCTCTGATTCTGGTTTGTACAAGCATATCTAAGGCAACACTCACAGCAAGCCACAGCTTTCATAGGAATGGTGCTGTTCTCAGCTTCCTTTGTCTTACACAGCAATACTGAGAGTGTGGAAGCCCCAGGAGCCAGAGCTCAGCAGTAGCTGATTCTTAGAACAGTTTCAAAACTCCTTCACACAAGTTCTTGATTTAAAAACCCATTTTCTTATTTCCATTATTTTCTTATAATGCTTTTTACTTCAAAAAAATTACAAAAAGAAGGGGTAGAGGATGTGATTTGAAATCACATGTGAAGCTATGTGAAATAGCTTCTCTCTTAAGGCTTTCATTGAGATGTGGCTGAGAATTCCTCAAAGGATGGGCCACTACAACAAACTAACCAAACTCTTCTGCTGCCTCGTGGCACCCAGTACCACCCATCAAAGATGAATTCCACCTACACAGCTACATTTCCCATCCTTATGTCACTAAGCAGACTGAATGCAAGGAAATTTGCCAAATTAGCACGTAAAATTAGGAGAAACACAGTTTTGTGTCTGTTTTTGTAAAGCCTGGCACACTTCTGTGGGAAGAAACAGCCAGGGGAAGAGTTATTCCAAGACTTGGTGGAGGGTGCAACAGCCCACTTTTCACAGAAACGGGTTCCACACAGACTGGTTAGTCCTGCGAAAAGTGAGTGCTCAGCACCTCAGCTCACAGGGACCCTGGAGTCTGCAATAGGGGTGGCAGTGATGATATGGGAAACAATGGCTGAGTGTCCCTGAGGCAGGAAGAGGGGATATCTGAGGGAGAAAAGGGCCCTATTAGAAAGAGAAGCTGCTGGAAGCTCTGGGCTCATGTCTGGACCAGCATGGGTGTCCCAGCCATCAGAGCCCACTTTCTATTCACCACCTACCTGTCTCTCTCTAACATCCCTGTGCTTGATGTCTAAAAACCTGTCGAACAAAAGATTATTCCTTTATCCCAGAGACCTTCCAAACAAAGGGCCCTGTTCAGGCCCTGGGGTCCAAAATCTGGAAATCCCTCCACTTTCCACTCTTGTGGTCAACAAAACCTTTTCCCTCTCTGAATCTGTTTCCTCCCAGGGCAGATGAAGCAGTGGCTTCTTCTGTAGACCTTGAGGCCCCCGTGGGGTTGAAGTGCTGAGCATTCCTTCCGGGGAAAACAAAGTCATGTGGAGCCCCCAGATACTGGGCATTTGGGCTGTAGGGAACTGCTGTGGTCCCTCTGTGACTTGTTTATTCCCCACAGAGAGAAGCTTGGCCTAAAGACTGAGAAGAAGCAGGTAACTGAACTTCACTATCCTGAGGGCTTTTCCGAATCCCAGCTTTGCACACGCCACAGCCATTGGCTGTCTCTACTTGTATGGATGCATCTGAACTCAACATAGGGCATTATTAGTGG